TCCTGCCCTGCCTGGATCTCAGCGGCCCTGCCCTGCCTGGGTCTAAGTGGCCCTGCCCTGCCTGGGTCTCAGTGGCCCTGCCTGGATCTCACTGGTCCTGCCTGGATCTCAGCGGCCCTGCCCTGCCTGGATCTCACCAGCCCTGCCCTGCCTGGATATCAATGGTTCTGCCCCTCCTGAATCTCAACGGTCCTGCCCCTCCTGCATCTCCGAGGCCCTGCCCTGCCTCGACCTCTGTGACCCTGTCCCCCATGGATGTGAGATGTCTGGTGTGCACAGCTGGGGGGAGGATGAACCTGTGGTTGAGGCCCCCAGTGTGGTCGTTTGTCCCGGCCACCCCAGGATGCCCCCAAAATAACAACAGTCTTCCTTATCGTCCCTCCGACGGTTATCAGTCACCTCTCCCCCACTATGACCCGCGATGGCAGCCCCCAGTCTCAGCAAGCAGGGCCTGGCCATCGCGTGGGGCCCCAACCCACGGAGGCACGCAGGTGACCGTCCCTTCCGCAAGCTGGGGCTGGATTCCCAGGCTCCGGCTCTTCGGCCCAAGCCGTGTCCATACAGCGGAGTCTCCCCCATAAGAGAGTCTCCGTCCGTAGAGCGAGAACACGCGTTCCCAGCAGGGAGCTCTGTCTTGGGCTCCGAGGTCCTCCCCGCGGTCCTTGCGGGGTCCGTCCTGCAACCTCGCGGCCGTGGGTGCTTATCGGCCACGACCCCTTCTCCTGGGCGGTGCCGGACGGGGTCTGGGGGCCGCGGTGCCAGCTGCCCGCGGAGATAATGGGCGCGCACTTCCTGTGCGCGGAGCCCGAGTTCTCTGTCTCTGGGGCGTTGGGAAACCTTTCGAAAGAGGCCCACGCTTGGCTTCCGTGCATCTTACCCGGGCCCGATCAAACCAGGGACGTTTTTCAAGAAAACCCTTGCTTATCGGGCCCGCGGCTCTTGTGAAACACGGAGCTGACGCGTCTGTGGCCTCGGTCTGCGTGGGTGTGGCCGGGACCCTGCTCACCTCGCCCTGAGCCCGGAGCCCGGGGCTGACGCGTGTGGGCGCACGTCCGTCGTCCGGAGACCCGGGGGCCTGGCGTGGGCGACCCCGGGCCCCGCTGCTGGCGCGCATCCACGGCCCCCGATGACGCCCCCGCACCTTCGCCACGCACCGCGTGTGGACGGCGGGCCGAGCGCGTCTCGAAGGACGCGGGCTCGCGTGCGCAACCGCGGTTCACCAGCGCGAGGACACGCGTTCAGGCCGGCACTTTGCAAAACCCGAGAAGCCGGGAGGCTCGTTTGCCATTGGACGCTCGGCGTTTCCCCAGCTGCTATATTCTTTTATTCTTACATTTTGTCTTGTCATCTCATTTCATTCTTGCCCTGTATGATTTTATTCCATCCTATTACGTTTTCTCTTGTTATTTTCCTTCTCTTATGTTATTTTATTTATCTAACATTTTACTAACACCACACGGGGCCAGAAGTGGTCGCAGGCGGGACGCACCATCTCCCCTCGTCCCCGTGCCCGTCAGCACGTTGCCTCCAGCGTGACCACGTCCTCGGGGTCCTGGGGGCCCGGCGGGGGGTGGCCCTCGTCCCAGGCGACCTGAGAGAGAGAGAGAGAAGGCAAGGGTCGAGACCCCCGAACCCTCCCACGCCCCGAGGCCGGCAGGTGCAAACAGGGCGGGGAGGAGGGGACTATTGCTCGGCTGCGAAAAGGACACGATGCTCAGGGACAGAAGCGGGACACACAGGACCTCGGCGCGAGACCCCAAGGGTACAAAACTCCCGAAACAGGGAAATCCGGACACACGAGGTGGACGTGAGCGCCCACAGGGTCGGGGGCACCTGGGATCCGATGGAGGTGATGCTTAATGCGGACAAGCTCTCCTTTGGGGGTCATGAGAATGCTCTGGAACCAGACGCAGCTGGTGGGGGGCACAACGCCCCTGCCTTGGGCCTTTGGAATAGGTGACAGGGGCGGTGGGGCGGGGGGGCGGGGGGGGGCGTGCGACTTAGGTTTCCACAAACCTGTCATAAATGGAAATAATGCTTCACTGTGACGCTCACCCCAGCGGACACCCAGGAAGCCCTCCCTTTTGCCCGGAGACACCACTGGAGGCCCCCCAAAGTCCCCCCCTTCCTGCCCCGGGCGCCCCTCGGGGACCCCGCAGGCTGCTGTGCCCCCGGCTGCCACCAGGTGACACAGCCCCCTGTGAGATCAGGCTCCGTCCAGCCTGGACGCTGGGGGCCGCCGGGGGCCTCAGGGAGCCCCCCCCCCCCGTTTAAGGGACAGGGGGTGACCCTGCCCTGGAGCCTCTGGAGGGAGCACACTGGAAACCTGAGCTGGAAACCTGAGCGCACTGCAAGCCCCATAGCCTCGCCCCAAGTCTCTCCGTGGACCCTAAGCACCCCGCGAGGGCAGCCTGGGTCGTGGAAGCGTCGGGGTGGGGCGCCCCGACGGGGCGTTTTGGGGGTGTCCGACCGCCTCCTCAGGGGGAGCGCTTGGGCTGACGCATGAGGACGCGAAGGCGGCTGGATCTGGAAGTAGGGTCTTTGCTCCTGTGACGGGAGGTGTGGTAATGGGGGGGGGGGCGGTTGCCGGCGCCCACAAGCTCCCCCCGAGCAGGGGAACCACCAGCACCGAAGGACCAGCCCCGGATTGGCGGCAGGGAAACAGGCCACACGCCCGCCCCCGGGGACTGGGGTGGTGGACTGCCGTGCGTCTCCAATGCCCAGCATTTCGGCTTTCGTGGTGAGCGCCCACGCGCACGGCCTCGGGTGCTGGAGGGTCGTGGCCCCTCCGCTGACCCCCAGCCCACCGACAGCGCACCCCCGGACTGCCCCCACCGCCAGAGACACCCCCGCCCCCACTCCCGGGACCTCACACGGCGCTGGCAGCCGGGAGGGGACGCGCCCACCTCCTGGGTGCAGAGGGAGGGGTCACTCACCCCCGGTGTGGGCATGAGGGCCCTGGCGATTTCCTTCTTCACCTGCGGGATGGGAGGGAACATCTTGCGCCTCACGGAGAACCTGGCGGGGAGACGCACACCGTGAAGGGCCCCACGGCCTCTGCGCGTCTCTTCCTGGAGAAACGCAGCGCCCACGGACACCCGCCAGGCCTGGTGCGCACCTGCCGGACCAGCGAAGACGCGCGCAGGACTCCTCAGATCCTCTCCAAGTGTCCCCCCCCCCACCCCAGGTCTTTTAAAGCACCACAAAGTATATAAGGACCCCCGGACTCTCCAGGTCCCCAAGACGCCCCAGGGCTTTGATTTTGGTCCTTGAGTATCAGAGGGTCCTGGGGAGCACGCGGGGGAGGCAGAAGGACCCGCCCCCATCGACCCGCCCATAGTCCCGGGGTCTCCTGGAGACTCCCCTGCTCCTGAGCTTGTCCAGAGCTGCGCACGCGTCATTACCCGCCTACTGCACCCCCCCCCCC